AGAACCTTTTTCTATTTTCATTAGATGTTGATTTATTGTTACAGGAAACCCAAAACAACAAAAGCACACAGAAAACAACACTCATCTCCCATTAACAGCCCCTTCAGCTTATACACAAACTCAACATCACTGCCATCACAACTGCTAAATTACTCCCCAGCAATCATTGGTCCTGAGGAACATGGTTCCCGGGAGCCTCCAAAAAATCCTCCTGCCTGACGAAAACCCCGGTCCCTGGACGGTCTGCACCCAAACTTTGGTGATGAATGTTGCCTCGCAGACCGACCGGGACCCGGGAAAAAAAAAACCCAGCCGGGGGGGAAAAAAAAAAAACCCCCCGGCTGGGGATTTTTTATTCTAAATTTAAAAATGATGTGAAAAACCTGAAAAGCAAAAGGCATACAAGGTTACAACCCTAGAACCCTTCAACACACACACACTTCCTGCAGCTTAGACACAAACCCACGCTGACTCACACCTCAACTGCTCTGCTAACCCCCGGCACGCATTCACACCACTCCTCGGGAACACAGCTCCCGGGAGCCTCCAAAAAAATCCTCCTGCCTGACGAAAACCCCGGTCCCTGGACGGTCTGCGCCCAAACTTTGGTGATGAATGTTGCCTCGCAGACCGACCGGGACCCGGGAAAAAAAAAACCCAGCCGGGGGGGAAAAAAAAAAAAACCCCCGGCTGGGGATTTTTTATTCTAAATTTAAAAATGATGTGAAAAACCTGAAAAGCAAAAGGCATACAAGGTTACAACCCTAGAACCCTTCAACACACACACACTTCCTGCAGCTTAGACACAAACCCACGCTGACTCACACCTCAACTGCTCTGCTAACCCCTGGCACGCATTCACACCTCTCCTCGGGAACACGGCTCCCGGGAGCCTCCAAAAAAATCCTCCTGCCTGACGAAAACCCCGGTCCCTGGACGGTCTGCGCCCAAACTTTGGTGATGAATGTTGCCTCGCAGACCGACCGGGACCCGGGAAAAAAAAACCCAGCCGGGGGGAAAAAAAAAAAAAACCCCCCGGCTGGGGATTTTTTTATTCTAAATTTAAAATGATGTGAAAAACCTGAAAAGCAAAAGCATACAAGGTTACAACCCTTCAACACACACATACACACCTCCTTCAGCTTACACACAAACCCACCCTCACTCACACCTCAGCCTCTCTGCTAACCCCCGGCACGCATTTGAGCCGCTCCTCGGGAATGTGGGTCCCGGGAGCCTCCAAAAAAATCCTCCTGCCTGACGAAAACCCTGGTCCCTGGACGGTCCGCGCCCAAACTTTGGGGATGAACGTCACCTCGCGGACTGACCGGGACCCGGGAAAAAAAAACCCAGCCGGAGGGGGGAAAAAAAAAAAAAACCCCAGCTGGGGATTTTTTATTCTAAATTTAAAAATGATTTGAAAAGCCTGAAAAGCAAAAGTCATACAAGGTTACAACCCTAGAACCCTTCAACACACACACACTTCCTTCAGCTTACACACAAACCCACGCTGACTCACACCTCAACTGCTCTGCTAACCCCCGGCACGCATTCGCGCCGCTCCTCGGGAACGCGGGTTCCCGGGAGCCTCCAAAAAAAATCCTCCTGCCTGACGAAAACCCCGGTCCCTGGACGGTCTGTGCCCAAACTTTGGCGATGAACGTCGCCTCTCAGACCGACCGGGACCTGGGAAAAAAAAACCCAGCCGGGGGGGAAAAAAAAAAAACCCCCCGGCTGGGGATTTTTTATTCTAAATTTAAAAATGAATTACAAAACCTGAAAAGCAAAAGTCACATACACAAGGTTAAAACTAGTCAGCATGTACTCACGCACACAGAGACGAGTAGACACAGACACACACAGTCGTGTGCTCTCACACACACTCACACGCTCTTCCTGCTTACAGGCTCGCTCTGGCCCTTACTCGAGACGCTGAAGAACGTGCTTCGATGCGTCTTCTGGCTGCCGCTCCTTGACGTCGAATGGTAGATTCTGGGGAAATCGGTAGCCTCGAGGACCTGTGAGACGACAGGAAGTGGTCAACGAGTGGCTGACAGCTAGGAATTTTCCCCGCTCTGGACCAATAAATTTTCTACCCAAAATCCCATAAAAGACAGATGAACAGTAAAGTTTTTACAACTGTTCTACCTAACTATGACTACATGCCAGGGCAGGGCAGCTCCAATCATAAGTAGTATAATATAAGTACATACAATATAAGCAAACGCATACAGTGCAAGTGTACATACAGTGTAAGCATATACAATATAAGCCGACATAGGTACACGCAATATAAGCATATACAATATAAGGATATACAACGTAAGCATATACAATATAAGCCGACATAGGTACACGCAATATAAGCATATACAATATAAGGATATACAACATAAGCCTATACAATATAAGCCAACACAGGTACACACAATATAAGGATATACAACATAAGCCTATACAATATAAGCCAACACAGGTACACGCAATATAAGGATATACAACATAAGCCTATACAATATAAGCCAACACAGGTACACGCAATATAAGGATATACAACATAAGCCTATACAATATAAGCCAACACAGGTACACGCAATATAGGCACATACAATATAAGCCAACAAAGGTACATGCAATATAGGTACACGCAATATAAGCCGATATAGGTACACGCAATATAAGCCAAGACTTGAGATAACTCTGTGGAAGACTAATTGTTGGGCCCCATACCCTTTGAGAAGATGGAACCTACAGAACAACTGCAGTCACTTGAGGAGGGTGTAAGACGCTCCCTCTAGAAGTCCAAGATAATGGCATGGGAAAAAAAGCACTACCAAAGCTGGTAGTGAGAAGGAAGATGGATGAGAAAATCTTGTAATCCTTCCTGTCTCAAAGAGTAAAAATGTAAAGATGCCAGAAAACACTATATCTGGGAAGGAATGTGAGTAAAATACTGCCTATATGGCACAAAATAGTGCCTGTAAAGTGTCGAGATGTAACAAAGGCCTATGACACGGAAGACAATAGACACAGACTACATAACACGGACGACACAACATAGACACGGATGGCATAACAGAGACAAGAGTAAACTGCCTAGCACTTTCAACTTATGGACCCGAGATTCGTAGCGCAAGATGAGCCAGAGGCCGATGATGCCAAAGGAAAGAAAGCCCTATGACAATGGCATGTGATGATGAAATGTAACTTGTTAAAAGAAGTTAGTGCTGAGGCAGTTAAGAGGATGCTCGAGAGGCTCGGCGAGCCTAGAGAAGGAAGCCGACTGCCGGGTGACCGTGGCCGTAGCTCCGGACCTGAAGGCGAGCTCCTCGGGGGAAAGATCCGTGACGACGTCGAGTCGAGGAAGGCGGACGACGCAAAGTTCCCGAGAATGTGGAGATGGGTTGGAACTGCCCTGCCCGGCAAAGGCTCTGGTGAGGCTGAGGAGAAACCCTCTCCCTTTACTTCCAGAGAGCCTGTCCCGCTACAGACCTCTCCGCTAAGCTGACATGAACTTGTCCCCTGTGATAGTAAAGGTTTTTCCCCTTCTCCCAACCGCTGGCCCCGACACTTAGCTTTTGGAAGAGGAGCGGACAAAATCCATCCTCGGTCGCACGTGGACGTTGATATGTTCTCCGCGTGTGCTTCGGTGTTGCCGTTTCGAAGCTTTGGGTAAGAGCCTCCTCAGGGTACCTAAGACAAAACGGAAAAGGTGACTATTGCCCTCAACAACAGTAATCCCCGGGACTCCTCCGCACCACTGCCCCGGCTCACCTCAAATCTTGATTTGACTCCGGAGGCTGGCCAGAAGATACCTGCAAAGAGAAAAGGTACATGCTTAGCATGCTGCTGCATAACATTCACCTTTGAGTCAGCCTGCCTAAACGCCGACTCACCTGCCCTCCTCTGTTCCTTGGCGTACCTAGGGCAGCAACAGCACCTGCAAAGAAACAAAGCAGAAAAGCATGCTGAGATACTGTGAAAACACAACCTCCCAAATCTGACAAGTATGCCACACCGATACCTTAAGCTCGCACCCACCTGGCACGGATATGCTCGGCTAGGATAGATTGCAAGCGGACCACCTAAAATAAAAAAAAAAAAGAGATGCTTAAAGCTGCACCAGAAACTGAGACCTCAGCAATAACAATTGCTTCTGTACGCTAGTCAATGCTCACCTCGCCCACTTGGCCTTGACTGCTGCTCTCAGCTTTAACTTCCTAAAAAGAGAGACAAAGAACAATGCTGTAACAGCCACCATTTATGCTTCCTCTACAGAAACAAATAGTGCCTCACCTGGTTGGGGGAATCCCCTCACCCAGGATGGGGCCCTCTGGCACAGATTTAATCCATCTGAATCTGAAAAAAGGTTAGGACAAGAGTCAAACTGTTGCAGGATAACTTAAGAGCTCCAGATATCTTGTGTCTATCTACAAATCCCATCTAGAGTCCAACTACACCCCACATTACAAACTTCAAGTCCCCGGGACTTCTCCTATTGCACCGGGCTACACGGCAGGGCAGAGCAGCTCAGGCACAAAATGTGTGTGCTGACACCCGTGACACGGGACGGGACGTGACAGACGACGGGGACGCGACACGGACAGAAATCTCTGGGCAAGGAAAATGGCTGCGAGGACTGAGAGAATGCAAAAGGAGATGACCGAGGTGAAACTGATGGTGGGCTGATGAGGCTCAGAGAACCCTGGACGAAAAAGATGCTAACTGAATGATTTATTCCAAGAACTGCAAAGATGGATGCCCAAGAATCATACAGCCAGAAGCCTCTACCTGCCCTCACATTCTTTCAAGTCCTAGTCTGCCATAATGGATCCTGGTGGGGTAGAGCTGTCCATACAGCTCAGAACAAGACCTGAAAAGACAGCTGACTGGATGCTTATAAAAAGAGATGAGAGTCTGATGCCTGTCTGAGCTCCCAAGTCAAAAGTTTTATGGCCTGGGTGCCGGGCCAAGGAACGCTGAGAGCACAGATGCTAAGACTGGTGCCAAGGCTTCTGACAGGCCCCTCAAAGGGCTAAGATAAAAGACATGAGACACCCAAACAAGACATAATGCACAACAGACAAGTGACACAATACACACCGGGACTGCTCTGCCCTGCTCACCTCAGCACGGTGATCAAAAGTGAGATTTTGATTTTAGGGGGCCTAAGGGGCCACTTCTTGGCTACCCTCATCTCCAGAGCCAACTCAAAAACTCCCCCATCCCAGGAGTGCCGACCCAGCACCTCGCTTTCATCCCCTCTGTGGGTCGTGGCCCTCTACTTATCTCTCGGACATCTGGGGATGCCGGTCCGTGTCGGGTGCGAAGAAAGGCCGCCTCGCCGGCTGGGAAATTCCTGCTGGCACCGGGCTGTTGTCTCTTAGACAGCTATATTAAAGAAAACCAAACATCAACGCCTGACCTTGGCACCACATTGGCCAAAACCACACAAGTCTGCTACTCACCATTCTCCTAAGAAGGCCTGGCACCTTGTAACCGTAACCCTCTGCCACAGATGTAATGCATCTGCACCTGAAAGAAAGGTAGAACATATGTCAAACACATGCACGATAACTCAAAAGCTCCAAACACCTTATGTCAACCTAGGAATAGCATCTAGAGTCCAAGTACAGCCCACATTACAACTTTCAACTCCCCGGGGCTTCTCCTATTACACCAGGCTATGCGGCAGGGCAGAGCAGCTCCGGCACAAATGTGTGTGCTGACACCCGTGACACGGGACAGACGGGACACGACAAACAATGGGCACAAGACACGGACGGAAATCTCTAGGCAAGAAGGATGACTGCGAGGACTGAGAAGATGCCAAATGAGACGACCGAGGTAAGACAGACCGATGGCGAGCTGATAAGGCTCAGAGTGCCCTGGAGAAGGAAGATGCTAAACTGAATGTTTTAGTCCAAGAACTGCAAAGATGAATGCACAGGAGCTCTACAGTCAGAAGCCTCTACCTGCCCTCACATTCTTACAAGTCCTAATCCACCATAATAGAACCTTGCAGGGTGCAGCTGTCCATACAGCTCAGAACAAGACCTGAAAAGACATCTGACTGGATGCTTACAAAGAGTTGCAATTCTGATGCCTGTCTGAGCTCCCGAGTCAAAAGTTTTATGGCCTGGGTGCCGGGCCAAAGAAACGTGGAGATTGTGCCTGCTAAGAATACTGCCGAGGTTTCTGATAGGCCCCTCAAAGGGCTAAGATAAAAGACATGAGACACCCAAACAAGACATAATGCACGGTAGACAAGTGACACGATACACACCGGGACTGCTCTGCCCTGTGCACCTCAGCACTGTGATCCAAAGTGAGACTTTGCTTTTAGGGGGCCTAAGGGGCCAATTCTTGGCTACTCTCATCTCCAGAGCCAACTCAAGACCTCCCCTCCCCGATCCCAGGAGTCCCAACCCAGCACCTTGCTTTCATCCCCTCTGTGGGTCGTGGCCCTCTACTTATCTCTCGGACATCTGGGGATGCCGGTCCGTGTCAGGTGCGACGAAAGACCGCCTCACCGGCTGGGAAGGTCCTGCTGGCACCAGGCTGGTGTCTCTTAGACAGCTTTATTAAAGAAAACCAAACATCAGTGCCCGATCTTGGCAGCCCATCAGCCAAAACCCTACAAGTCTGCTACTCACCCTTCTCCTAAGAAGGCCCGGCTCCTCCGGTCACACGCTTCGGGCACGCTCGGAGGCCGACGCCGTTGTCGTGGGGTACGCCTGGGTTAAGAAGACAGGAGGTGATGTGGCGTTGCTGAAAACTGACTGGACCCTCGGTCCTCCTCGCTACTTCCCTGACTCACCGTAACTCCTCGGTGGTTCCTGACTGCTACCCAGAAGACAGGGCTCATCAGGGTGGAAAATTCGGTCCGTCGGCCGGGTGGGGATGGGAGCTTGGCGTGCTCCGAGTGGATTGCCTAAGGCACAAAAACGAGAATGGAGACTTAGACTTGCCCCCTTAGAATTCAGACCTCAGCAACAAGAAAGGCTACTGCTCACCTTGCTCTCTTGAACTTGACTGCTGGGATCCAGCTATACTTCCTAAAAATAAAGACAAAAAACAGCGCTGTAATAGGGTCACACTTGACACTCCCCCTGCACAGACAAATGGTGACTGACCTGCTTGTGGGAACCCCCTCACCCAGGATGGGGGGCTCTGCCATGGATGCAATGCATCTGCACCTGAAAGAAAGTTAGAACATATGTCAAACACCTGCAGGATAACTCAAAAGCTACAAACACCTTAGGTCAATATAGGAATAGCATCTAGAGTCCAAGTACAGCCCACATTACAACCTTCAACTCCCCGGGGCTTCTCCTATTACACCAGGCTATGTGGCAGGGCAGAGCAGCTCCGGCACAAATGTGTGCTGACACCTGTGACACGGGACAGACAGGACGTGACAAACAATGGGCACACAACACAGACAGAAGTCTCTGGGCAAGGATGACTGCAAGGACTGAGAAGATGCCAAATGAGATGACCGAGGTGAGACCGATGGCGAGCTGACAAGGCTGAGAAAACACTGAAGGAAGAAGATGCTAACTGAATGATTTATTCCAAGAACTGCAAAGATGGATGCCCAAGAATCATACAGCCAGAAGCCTCTACCTGCCCTCATGTTCTTTCGAGTCCTAGTCCGCCATAATGGATCCTGGTGGGGTAGAGCTGTCCATACAGCTCAGAACAAGACCTGAAAAGACAGCTGATCGGATGCTTCTAAAGAGACAAGAGAGTCTGATGCCTGTCTGAGCTCCTGAGTCAAAAGTTCTATGGCATGGGTGCCAGGCCAAGGAATGCAGAGATCACAGATCAGCAATGATGCCAGGGTTTCTGACAGGCCCCACCAAGGCCTAAGGTAAAAGACATGACATATGCAAACAACACATAATACACAAAAGACAAGTGACACGATACACACCGGGACTGCTCTGCCCTGCATACCTCAGCACTGTGATGAAAAGTCAGGCTTTCCTTTTATGGAGCCTAAGGGGCCGCTTCATAGACACCCCCCACCTCCAAAGCGGACTCAAAAACCCCTCCCAGTAATTCCCAAACCAGCACCCTGCTTTCATCCCCTCTGTGGGTCATGGCCCTCTACTTATCTCTCGGACATCTGGGGATGCCGGTCTCCGGTGCGAAGAAAGGCCACTTCGTCAGCTGGGAAGGTCCTGCTGGCACCAGGCTGGTGTCTCTTAGACAGCTGTATTAAAGAAAACCAAACATCAGTGCCCGATCTTGGCAGCCCATCGGCCAAAACCCCACAAGTCTGCTACTCACCGTGCTACTAAGAATGCTCAGCTGCTCGGGCCGCACGCTTCGGGCACGCTCGGAGACCAAGGCTGTCGTCACAGGGGGTGCCTGGGTTAAGAGGAGAGGAGGTGATTTAGCACGGCTGACACCTGAGTGGAACCTGGCTCCTCCTCCCTACTTCCCCTACTCACCGCAACTCCTCGGCAGCTGCTGAAGGCCACCTGGAAGGCACCTTTAAATAGAAGAGTTCAGGGTTTCATCACCAGGGCCTGTAATGCATCCACAGGGCTCACACGTGCAGGGAACCCGGTGCATCGGCCGACTGGTGACGGGGGCTTGACAGGCTCCGAGTGGATTGCCTAAAGCACAAAAAAGGAAATGGAAGCTTAGAGCAGCACCAGAAACTGAGACTGGAGCAATAACAGCTACTTCTCTCCACTGCTCACCTTGACTGCTGGTATCCAGACTTAGTTCCTAAAAAGAAAGACAAAGAACAGAGCTGTAACAGAGTCACCACATACACTTCTGTTGCAGAGACAAATGGTGCCTCACCTGCTCGGGGGAAACCACTCACCCAGGATGGGGCCCTCTGGCACAGATTTAATCCATCTGAATCTGAAAAAAAAGTTAGGACAAGAGTCAAACTGTTGCAGGATAACTTAAGAGCTCCAGATATCTTCTGTCCATCTAGAGTCCAACTACACCCCACATTACAAACTTCAAGTCCCCGGGACTTCTCCTATTACACCAGGCTATGTGGCAGGGCAGAGCAGCTCCGGCACAAATGTGTGCAGACACCCATGACACGGGACAGGACGTGACAAACAACAGGAACACGACACAGACAGAAATCTCTGGGCAAGGAAAATGGCTGCGAGGACTGAGAAGATGCAAAAGGAGATGACCGAGGTGAGACCAATGGTGAGCTGATGAGGCTCAGAGAAACCTGGAGGAAGAAGATGCTAACTGAATGATTTATTCCAAGAACTGCAAAGATGGATGCCCAAGAATCATACAGCCAGAAGCCTCTACCTGCCCTCATGTTCTTTCGAGTCCTAGTCCGCCATAATGGATCCTGGTGGGGTAGAGCTGTCCATACAGCTCAGAACAAGACCTGAAAAGACAGCTGATCGGATGCTTCTAAAGAGACAAGAGAGTCTGATGCCTGTCTGAGCTCCTGAGTCAAAAGTTCTATGGCATGGGTGCCAGGCCAAGGAATGCAGAGATCACAGATGCTAACAATGATGCCAGGGTTTCTGACAGGCCCCACCAAGGCCTAAGGTAAAAGACATGACATATGCAAACAACACATAATACACAAAAGACAAGTGACACGATACACACCGGGACTGCTCTGCCCTGCATACCTCAGCACTGTGATGAAAAGTCAGGCTTTCCTTTTATGGAGCCTAAGGGGCCGCTTCATAGACACCCCCCACCTCCAAAGCGGACTCAAAAACCCCTCCCAGTAATTCCCAAACCAGCACCCTGCTTTCATCCCCTCTGTGGGTCGTGGCCCTCTACTTATCTCTCAGACATCTGGGGATGCCTATCCGTGTCAGGTGCAAAAGAAGGCAGCCTCAACATCTGGGAAGTTCCTGCTGGCACTGTTGTTCAACAACTCCCTGCTGTTTCTTAGTCAGCTACATGAAAGAAATCCAAATATCAATGCATGATGTCTGCAGCACACTGGCCAAAACCCAACAATTCTGCTACTCACCGTTCTCCTAGGAATGCCCGACTCCTGGGGCCGCACCCTTTGGCCACGCTCCGAGGCTGATGCCATTGTCACGGGGTAAGCCTGGGTTAAAAGGAGACGAGGTCATGTGGCATTGCTGAAACCTGAGCGGACCCGAGCTCCTCCTCCCTACTTCCCCGACTCACCGTGACTCCTGACTCCTCGGCCCGTGCCCAAGGCTACCTTGGTGACACCTTTAAATAGAAAAGGCAGAGGCTTCATCGACGAGTCCCGTGATTCTTCCGCAGGGCTGGGGAGAGCGGCACACCCGGTGCGTCGGCCGGTTGGTGACTGGGGCTCGGTGTACTCCGAGTGGATTGCCTAAAGCGCAGAAACAGGAACGGATGCTTAGAGTTGCACCGGAAAGTGAGACTTGAGCAGTAACAACTGCTTCTGGACACTACTCAATGCTCACCTTGCCCACCTCATCTTGACTGCTGATATCCAGCTTTACCTCCTGAAAAGAAAAAGAACAGTGCTGTAACAAAGTCACACTTTACACTCCCCCTGCAGAGACAAACAGTGACTGACCTGCTCGGGGGAACCTCCTCACTCGGGATGGGTGGATGGATTTTGCCCTGGATTTTATCCTTCTGCGTCTGAAAGAAAGTGAGGACAAAAGTCAAAGGGCTGTGGGATAACTTCACAGCTCCAAATATCTTCTGTCTATCTAGGAATATCATCTAGAGTCTGGCAACACCCCACAAACTGCAAGTCCATGGGACTTGTCCTGTTGCAGCAGGCTATGCGGCAGGGCAGGGCAGAGCAGCTCCGGCACAAATATGTGCGGACACCCGTGACACGGAACGTGACAAACAGGAGGACAACAAACACAACAGATTATGCTTGTGGTGAGGGTCTCGAGGGGAAAAGGCAAAAGGGACCCCAAAGACACACTAGGTAACATGGTACACCGGACAACACGACGTGGACCGGAACTGTTCTGCGCTGCCCGCCTGAAAGCTGCCATCAAAAGTAGAACCTCTCCCTTTAGCTGTCCTAAGAGGCCCCTTGGAGAAGATTACTTTTCCCTCTGCTAATTTTTAAATCTGTCCCAGGAACTCCCAACCCACTACTCTCCCATCATCCCATCTCCAGGCCGTGGCCCTGACTTATCTTTTGGATGATCAGTGATGTGAATCCACGTTGCACCTGAAATGAGTCTGCCTCAGAGGGCCCCGTGATCCCCTGTTAGCCTCTCGGTCAGCTACAATAAAGAAAAACAAAACCAAAGTATGAGTACAAAGTTATGTGGGCCAAATGCCAGCAAGTCAGATACTTGCCCTCTCCTGAGTGTGCCTGGCTCCTTCAGGCTCCAGCTTCATCCTGATTCCAAGGCTGTGGCCATTATTATGAGTGGCACATGGGTTAGAGAAAGGCAAAGTAAAATAGCATTCCTGTGAGTGCAGTGGATGACCTTGTGTGCTGTAAGACATGTGAATGCCTCTGCTAGGCTTCTAAAAAGCCTTGGGGTGGGGGGGGGGGCCTCAAATAATCACCCTTTCTCACCCTGCTGCCTTCAAAACCACCCCCCCAACAATACCTCCTAACTGGATACCTGCTCAGCCTCCCTCTCCTAGTTACACGCCTCAACTCACCTGAAGCCTCAATCTCAAACATTATCTTTGACACTGGGCAGATCCCTCTTGTGACATGATGAATCTGCTGAAAAGTGTTGTAGTTGACACAACCTGGAGCCTCTGGAAGCTGTGCTCTTCCTAAAAAAAAATACAAAACAAAATACGAACAAAACCAGAAATTACAAATGCACTTTACCACCCCTAAACACAAAACCCAAAATTGTGAACTTAAATACTCCCTGTATTCTATGCTGTTTTCTTCACAGGATCTTCAAAGCCTCTGTTGCTTTAGATGCCCAGAAGCACCTACTGAAAACAAGCTGAGATAAGCTGAAAGAGCCTCTTCTCTGAAATGAGAGGAAAGCTCTTATCCTAGCACAGCCCAGAGAGGGAATGAAGGCCCTCAGCAAAAGCTGGGGTTAATATACCCCTGATGGTGCCCGCCTCTCGTTCCCATGGCACCCAGGAAAAGGGAGGGGGCGAATCCCACCGGGCATAAAAGCCCTCAGAGAAGCTACAGCTGTTTGGCTCCTCTGACTCAAATTCAAGGGGAGCAAAGGGCTTGTTATAGAAGAAAACTCTTCAGAAAAATAACAGCACTTTCTTTTTTGCAACAACTACTTGGAGTAAAAGGGTAGAAAACTGGTAAGAAATATAACTTTCTGTTTAGGCAGCATAACTAGATAAATTGGGTAATTTGCTGTTAACTTACTTATAATTATTCCTTAGTGGCTACTAAGTAGTACTTCACGTGTGACTGAGCTGGGTGGAGAAGAATGCTTATGATATGAATAGTCTAAGTCTCCTTGGGACCTCTAATTAGGCCTATCTACATTATAAGTAAAAATAAGAAAAATAAAAGCTTCCCAGGCAGTGTAAGGGTTAAGTGCCTGCCAGGCTCACCCTGCTCTGAGGTACTTGGTCCTACGACACAGAAAGAAGGGCCCTGAAATGTAGTTTTAAACCCTTAAAATGCTGAAAAAGGCAGAGCTTCCTTCCAGTACACCCCTTAAACAGAGGAAATGGGGCAGTTACCTCTACTGAAACTAATACAATAGCAAATAAATAGCTTCTGCCCTTTGATTTATTCTCCTTAAGTACTGGGAAAAGAGGGGTTTTCATCACTTTAAATCTCTCTAGTGATGAAAAAAGAGGGATTTTTCCCTCAGTTCAAACTCTTATGGAGGGATAGCTGGGCTTCTCCCTCAATTTAGGCCTCAGGACAACAAAAAGGGGCCGGCTACCCTAAATTCAAACCCATAAGAAACATTTTCAATATTTTCCCCTTCTACTTAAACTGGAAAATAATAGAAAATGAGGACTCCCTGTCAATTAACACCCCTGACAGCATAGAAAAGGCAGGGATTCTTTCAACTGAGACCATTAAAATTGCAGGGGAAGCAGAGTCCCTCCCAGTTTGAACACAAAAAATAAAGGAAAAGGAAGCTTTCTGCCTTTTTTCTAAACCCTTTTACTCCTAATAACCCCTCTCCTTTCTGGGAGTGCTGTGGAGGGTCTGGGGGCCCTGGGGAAGGACTGACACAGTAAAAGGGGAAAGTTGAAAGCTCTCTCCTGGAACCCCACATGCTGCCTGGCCTGCTCAGATGCTGCCCCTTGGCAAAAGGGCTCTTCCCTTGGCATTTTCTCAAAGCGATGCTCTGTGCCCGGGTGGGTCCGGCTGCTCCCTAGTCCGTGCTGGATGCTCCGACCGTAGTTCCTGGAGGGACCCTTGGGATGCCCCGTTAGCCCCTCTGGACTAGCAGCTCCCTGTGCGGGTGTGCCTGGGTAACCCTCTGAAAGCAGCTGGTCACACGGGGGCTGCTAGACCTTGGAGTGGGGCTTGAGGTGAAGAAAGGTCCTGTGAGGAGTTCCTTCCCCTGCACAGCCCTTCGTCTGCCCCTTAAACCGTGGGGTGCCAGACTTTCCTTTCTAAGGAAATTAACCGTCTTTCCTCTCTGTGTGCCCGTGGCCGAAACTGCAATTCGGCCTCCAAAACCGCAGAGAACGATTTCTCACGGACCGCGGCTGCCGACGCCGAGAACTCTCGCCGCCCTTGGAGGGCCACGTGCCTCCTGCGAACGGACGTCGACGCGCAGCGGGGTGAGTTTGGCTTTACGGGGAAGAGGGCCGGCGCAGGATTTCTCCGGGAGCAAAGCTGCCCCCGCCGAGAACTCGGGCTGCCTTGGCAGTGCCGAGCACCTCCTGCAAACTGGCATTGGGAGACGCGGGGAGTGAGTTTTTCTGTGCAGAAGTTCTCCCAGACCAAAGCTGAGAGCATCTAACCCTAACCACAACAACTTAGCTGGGTCTAAAACTTACAACCTTTGGACTGGCAGCGTGGGACCCAACCCGCTGTGCCACTGCTGGCCCCTTCCTAAAGCATTCCACTGCAGTCCTAAAACTCTGCCTTTTCAGAGGGTGTTTCCTCTGACCCTGACCGTAATCTTCAAAATATGCTAAAGACTCATAAAATGGCTTTGAAAAAGCCCCAACAATACCCTAAGTAGTCCCAGAAAAGTCCCTTCCAAAATTCCCTAAATACCTTTAAAAGTCCTGGAAAAAAAACCTCAAAAAGACATGCTCAGTCTCCAAACTCTACCTCTTGCTGTCTAGCCCACAGATGTCGTCCCTACCTTTCTGCAGTGTGTCTGTTGTCCTCTGAGGGTTCTGTCCTTGTCCTGCTGTGTGAGGGCTGCTGTCTGGTCTCGCTGTTAGGGCTGCTGTGTTGTGCTGCTGTTGGGGGAAAAGGCTGTTTTTAGAGGGGCTGCTTAGGCTGAGGTTAGGGCTGGGGTGAGGGGTGGTACAGCTGTACCGTGCACCCCTGATCTCCACTGGACTGTCCAGCCCTCAAGCCCTGTCCCTTTACCCCTCAACTGGTCCCTCTGCCCCCCCAGCCCTCAGCTCCTGTGTGTCACCCTTAACCCCTCTCCTTTGCCCCTCAGCCCCCAGCTTCTCTGTGTCACCCTACAGCTGCCCCTGCCACCCTCAGCATCTCTGTGTGTCACCCGCTGTCCCCTCTCCCTGTTCCTCCCTCAGCTCCCAGCCTCTGTCACCCTCAAGCCCCCACAGTGCCCCTCAAGCTGCCCCTCAGCCTCCATGTGTTGTGCCATGAAAAGACCCTAAAAAAACCTAAAAATTCCCTGAAAACCTCCTAATCTTCAAAATGTCCTAAAAACCCCATGAAAACCTAAAAGCAGCCTCAGAATGCTGTTAGAATACACTGGAAATATCCTACTTTTAAAAAACCCCTAAAAATCCCCAAAGAACCTTTAGAAATCCCTAAATATACCCTAAATAGTCCAAAAAGAGCTCAAAAAATACCCCAAAATCCTTAAAATGCCCTGATAAGATCCTAAAAAACCTAAAAATTTCCTCAAAAACCCTAAAAATACCCTAGCCCTAAAAAGTCCTCCACATACCCTCAATAGTCCTAAAAAAAACCCAAGAACACCAAAATCCCCGCCCAAACAGTTCTTAAAAGTACTAAGAAAGCCCTTAAAATACCCTAACAAAATCTTTTAAAAGCCCTGAAAAAGCCCTAAAAGTATCCTAAACATTACCAGACAATTCCTGGAAAACTCCTCCAAAAAAGCCCAAAAATATCCTTTTAAAGCCATGAGAAAAACCCTAAAACCCTAAAAAACTGCTCAGCACC